AAGACAGACAAGTTACAAATATAAAACCATACATCGTTAAAAACACAACAGTCATACCATTCGAGTGGGGTTACACATCTCTAGCCCCAGGCCTGTTGGAACAGCCAGCTTTTAAGGGCTATGTGGAAGGCCTGGAGGGTGGTGAGGGTGCGAATCCCTACGGGGAGTTCGTTCCAGAGGGTCGGAGCAGCCACCGAGAAGGCTCTCCTCCGGGTAGTTGCCAAAGTCATGCATTGAACATTTATATGGTGAATTTGTGGTGAACTACATGTGGGATGTTTGGTAAGGTACCACTGGAGAATCCTACTGATTCGCTCAAACCGTTAGCTCTGACTGCAAGCCGAGAGCGAACCGGTCTCTGTTTCCGTGAATGTGTCCCCCGCCCAGGTTATACTGACCTTTATTTCTGCTTCTGAAGCCCTGTTGATCAGTGGCGGCAGATTGAATTGCAACTTCTCAGCTGTTTTCCTTGCTCCTTTCCTTGTTTGCAATGTAGACATTCAATTTTTGCTAAACTGCGCATGTGCGAAGCACGGATGAAGCAAACCGGTTTTTCAGCCAGTAGGCACCTGCCCCTTTAAGGTACCATCCTTCAATTTGAGCCCTGGTGAGATTATTAGGATTTACTCTCAAGTGCATTTAAGACTGCAATCAAAATAATTTTCTGCTATTTGCTTTTCACTTAATACCCCTTCCCCATTCCTTTTACAATAATTCTTTTTTTATGTGTTATTTAATCTTTTCAGGTACTCCAAGGGATGATGATGTTTCCCCTCCAGATTGGAAAACATTAATCCCAAAGCCACCAGATACTGAAGTCAGGCGCCATTATCAGCCACAAGTCCGTGCACCCGAATTAATGGATTTCACTTGGAAGTATGGGTGTAATGCAAAACGTAAAATTCCGATCAAAGGTGCTGGTAAGTTGTGTTTTTCTACAGCTGAACTATAGAGTTCCATAAATTAACTAGGCAGGTGACTTTTCTTCCATGGTTAGATTTTTCTTTCCAGCTTCCAATGATCACAAATGTGGTGGACAATGAACTTCACTAGAATAGACAAGATTTTTTAGGCCAATGTTCAGCATCTATAACCCAGGTAGTTCTGCATTAAATTCCATGGATTCTGCATGAGCCATTTTGTCCCTTATTGTAATAAAAGGAAAGCGAGAAATGAGGTTGTATTCAGATTTCTTACCAAATTTCAGAAGAATAAGTGCTGTGGGGAGAGGCATATGTGCTCCAGCTCTGAGCTAAAGAGTGCTAGTCACCATCATGGTGCAAGTATTCCTACTCTCCTAGCAGAAGATCACCAGTCTACCATGTTGCTCTTCATGCTCCCAGGCATCATCTCCTTGGATTACTCTAAGAGGATCAATCTTCTGGAATTTGAAGTAGCACTCTGTTCAGTTTCTCAGTGGACACGTACAGTTTTAGATTCCCACATATTCAAGGCCTATAATTGTAAGAGAACAGAGAGCGTATGGCAGTGGTGGGTTTCAAAANAAAAAAAAACAGATATGAAAACCATCCTGAAAAATGGGACACTAAATGACAGAAAGTAACAAGAACTTATCTCAACCAAAAGGGGAGGAATGAGGAAAAGAAAAGAAAATAAGAAAATATTGTAATTGTTTTAAGATAATAATGAATCCATTTCTTTTTCCTGTGAAACCTTACGGTTTCTTTCTTTTCCTTACGGAAGTTAGCAATTTTACTGCATTAAATTGATAAGGAAATATTTTGGGTTATTCTCAGGTGACTATGATTTTCAGGGTAGAGAAAACCATCCATGCTTTTTTTTATTTATTTGCAGGAAAGAAAGGATCCATAAAGTTCTGAATCGTAGTGCAGCAGGAGAAGCGAAATACCTGCTTCCAAAAAGTTACTTTCCTTTCAAAAACAAAGAGAATAATTTCATTCTTCATGTTCTGAAATGGATACTGAATGCCTGCTATCTGACACCATTCTTTGATTTCAGAGATAGATGATTAGTCAGCTAAAGCTGGAAGGCACTAAGAGGTAATCAATTCCCCCAAATTTGATCCATACCAATTCTGAAAGGTGAATTATTCTTCTCTATATTAGTTTCGCTTCTAAAAGATGTGGTTTATCTTTAATAAGTGCAAGCAAGATAAATCACTAAATAATATCCAATCAGTCTTTTAAGCACAAGCAGTAACATCTATGCAGGCATTTTTACTGGAGATATTAGATTGGTTGGATTTGGAGAACAACAGGAGGATTTAGAGCTGGTCTTACAATAAAGGACTGTATTATCTGATAGAAAAATATACCATATGATCCATTCAGCAGTGTTTTAAACCTTCAGGCAAGCTATTGACTCAATTTCTAAGGAAGACCTATGGCAGAAACTTATGACCTTGATAGATTACAGTCTGCTTTCTCTCATCTATAAATTTACATGTCAATAGTGGTTAAGAATAAGATGCAACATAACAGATCATCTATCAAATGTGATAGCAATTAAGATCAGGGTAGAGTAAGGATGAATCTTTATTTCACTACTATTTATTTTACATACATTCTCTAATACTCTGCAAATCAAGTGGAACATTGTAGCCTTAAGGTATGAATAAACACAATTATATTTTATGGGATAATAAAGTTTTTTTTCAATCATAGACCCCAGGTAGTTTAATGAGGGGAAAGAGAGTCTTCGCTTTCTTTTGTAATAACCATGACCTGAAAATACTTTTTAACTAAAATTATTAATGTTACAAAAAGATAAACAAGATAATCTGGCACATTGGTGAATCACAGCATAATTGATGTTAGACTTAGTTTTTTGAGAAAGCTGATTCAGGTAACCTAAATGTGGTGCTGTAATTTAATTAGCCAGAGATTATATAGGGGGAGACAGATCTTCAATTATAGATTAAGGTTGCATATTACTGCAATTAACCAGGCCTTACTAACTAATGAATAATTCTTCTTCTTCTGATATCGGGAGTATAGAGTGAGCTTCTATCATATGGATACTCTCCTAAGTGTAGGTTTTAAACAGTGTTCGGTTTCAAATCCCGTTCCAACTGGTACGGTTGGAACGGGCCCTGCGGTATACTCATGGACATGCACATGCGTCTTAGTGCCTCCGCGATGCTCCAGCGGCTCTGCGGAGTGGTGCACAGGCACTGTACATGCCATGCACGTGCACGGAAATGCAGAAGTCTTAAAACACAGATAAAGACCCCAGGCAGGCGGGTGGTCCCTCTGGACTACCATACCGGAACGGTACATGGCTGGCTCCTGTACGCCCATACCAGGGCGTACCGTCTGCAACCCACCACTGGTTTTAGGTCACAACAAAGCAAGGCAGAACTGAAGAAATATTCTGGATATGAAAACTCAAATTGAACATAATTGAAACCACAGTGAACTTGTAAGGCTTACTAGATAGACCAGACCATGAAACCAATTTTGCAGGAAAGCTAAACTGCTTTTATTAAGACTGACTAGAACAACAGAATCTTACAGGTCTTGTTTTGCTGTATATCATCCTTTTTACAGTTCAGTGAATTAGGGAGGATTCTGCTTGAGTTGCTTCTTGCTGTAATCTATTATGAACTTTTTCTGGCTTGTTTTAGTCCCTTTTTCTTAGCTTCTTCATAGCTCCATCAAAGTTATCTTCCTTAGCTTTTGCAGAATCTGAGCTGTAAATCAGTTAAATGGCTTAAGCCAGCTAAATATCCTAAAATCTTAAATTTAAATGTCAGCTGAACTGACATTTGATTCTTAGCAATCCTATATATAAATTCTTATATATTATCTTTTATCTGATCAGTTATTTAAAAATCTAACCAAGATTCTGTGAAGTCTTGTATGACTCACAGAGTCCTTGGTGGAGATTGTTTATTGCTTGCAGGCCTTTTATTACCTGAATAGATAAGATCAAGTACTAGCGAACATAGAAATTGTCCCTGTTTATTTACAGTGGCTAACTGTTAACTTTACAAGGAATAGTTAGCAGTACAGCAGTACAGCTCTGCTAACTATTCTTTGTCCTAATCATTATTCCTTGATAGTTCACGCATACATTTTAGTGCCTCCGCGATGCTCTGCGATGCTCCAGTGGCTCTGCGGAGCGTTGCACAGGCACTGTACATGCCATGCGCGTGCGTGGAAGCACAGAAGCCTTAAAACACAGGTAAGGACCTCGGGCAGGTGGGTGGGCCCTCTGGACTACCGGAACGGAATGGTACACGGCTGGCTCCTGTACGCCCACAACCCACCACTGGTTTTAACTGATGTTAATCCCTGATTACCTAGGTGTCAGTTGCTAGATTGCAGAAACAACCAAAAAACTATTACAACCGCACAGCATCACTGTAACACACCAAGCAACTAAAACAGTTTAAGAAAACCAAAAGACCCAATAGCCCAAAAAGGAAATAACAGAAGTCATATGCAACATAACGAAGAAAACAACACCTTCACCAATGCTGGGAAGGTAAGCCACTTCATGAAGTAATGAAGCCACCTAGTTG